ATCTTCTGAGCTTCTTTCCTCAAGAAGTAGATCTTCAGAGCTTCTTTCTTCAAGAGGAAGATCTTCAGAAATTGTTTTCTCAAGGGGTAGATCTTCAGAGCTCGTTTCCTCAAGAGGTAGATCTTCAGAGCTCGTTTCCTCAAGAGGTAGATCTTCAGAGCTCGTTTCCTCAAGAGGTAGATCTTCAGAGCTCGTTTCTTCAAGAGGTAGATCTTCAGAGATTGTTTCCTCAAGAGGTAGATCTTCCAAGCTTGTTACTTCCTCAAGGTAGATTTTTATCACCTGTCTACTTCTCCAGGTAGATCTTTATCTCTTGTCTACTTATTAATAATAATAATAATTATTATTATTAACATCAGGCTTATCAGCGTGACAGAGAGAGAGAGATAACAGCATCACCTTGAGATGACCCAATAGCAGAAGTGAGGCTGAGATCAGACGAGCCAAATAATGTTCAAGTTCAAGTTCAAGTATGTTTATTGAGATAGGCAAGAAATACATCTCAAAGGGATAGAGTAGCTTAGGCTATTTCTACCCTCCCCCCCCTATAATGTCATTGTTTGTCGCCAACTACACGAGCAATCACTCAATCACTCAATCACCCAATCACTCAATCAAATCCTGTGGTCTGAGCAGCCAATCGTTCTGATGGCTCCGTCTGTGAGACAGGAAGCTGGTCTCTGTGGCGACTCAAGAGTTATATAAGATAAATGGGATTATCAATATAATGGTGTGGTGGTTAGTTAGTAATGGTCTGGTAGTTAGGTAGTTAGTGATCAGAGCGGTCAAGTGATTATCAGGAAGAAAGTAAGGTGGTTATCCTTAGACAGGTAAGGCGGTTTGATTATTTAGCGCAAGAGGGGATATGAGGATAAGGAGCTGGGGTATGAGGACAAGGAGCTGGGATATGAGGACAAGGAACTGGGATATGAAGACAAGGAGCTGGGGTATGAGGACAAGGAGCTGGGGTATGAGGACAAGGAGCTGCGATATGAGGACAAGGAGCTGGGATATGAGGACAAGGAGCTAGGATATGAGGACAAGGAGCTGGGATACGAGGACAAGGAGCTGAGGTATGAGGACAAGTAGCTGGGATATGAGGACAAGGAGCTGGGGTATGAGGACAAGGAGCTGGGATGTGAGAACAAGGAACTGGGGTATGAGGACAAGGAGCTGGGGTATGAGGACAAGGAGCTGGGGTATGAGGCTAAGGAGCTGGGGTATGAGGACAAGGAGCTGGGGTATGAGGACAAGGAGCTGGGATATGAGGACAAGGAGCTAGGATATGAGGACAAGGAGCTGGGATATGAAGACTAGGAACTGGGATATGAAGACTAGGAACTGGGATATGAGGACAAGGAGCTGGGATATGAAGACAAGGAACTGGAATATGAGAACAAGGAGCTGAGATATGAGGACAAGAAGCCAAAGAAAAGATAACAGACTAAAGGAATGATACCCAATTTCTTAGCCTATCAGAGATCACCCGCCAACCTCTACAAAAAACGAAGAACCGTCTTTCAACCAACCTAACCTAACCTAACCTAACCTAACCTAACCTACCCTAACCTAACCTAACCTAACCTAACCTAACCTAACCTAACCCAACAGCTGCCGGCTGTTACAGAAGCCTCCTGAACATTACACGACCGATCAGAAAAACACGACAAGTGTCCTTCCCTATCAAGAAAACAGATCGGAAGCCATAACGCGCTCAATGCAACATACAGCCAATGATTTACAGCCAATCAACATGGGACCGAAACCACACGACATAAAATAAAAATTACTTTTACTACCGCCCGCAGGAACGGCAGAAGATATACCGCATGACCGGATAAGTGGTAAGGGGCCGTTTGAGCGAAAATACATTATATATATATATATATCCATAATTAATTAGTCTGGTGTTGACAACGGCTTTAACAGGCCGAAACGTTCATCTCTCTCCCATTTCTTTGTGGTTTTTCCGCATTCATAATTATATATATATATAATTAAAGAGAGAATTAAATATAGTGTCTTCAACAGGTACCCACACAACTACTCCTCCCTTCTGATGGGTCGCCCTCGCCTGCCCCAGTGTGTAGTGGGGAAGGCTGACCCCTGGACTGGTGCCCCGCGTCTTCACGACGAAATGACCTTTGACCCGACCGCAGCTTATACCCACCATTTCTCCTCCATGTCAGGTCAGTCATCGCCGGGGTCGAGTGAGGGAGGTGGGGGGGTGTTGTATGTTGTGATTGGTGGATTTGGGGGGTGTGGTGGTAAGAGAGGTGATTTGATTGGTTGGTAAGTGGTGGGGTATATATTTGTTAGACAGGTGTGTGATAGTGGGGTATGCGCTTATATGATGTTATGTTTAAACGGGGCATTCATCTCTGAATGCTAGTGAGAGAGAGAGAGAGAGAGGAGAGAGAGAGGAGAGAGAGAGAGAGAGAGAGAGAGAGAGAGAGAGAGAGAGAGAGAGAGAGAGAGACGAGAGAGAGAGAGAGAGAGAGAGAGAGAGAGAGAAGAAGAAGAGAGAGAGAGAGAGAGAGAGAGAGGAGAGAGACAGGGGAAAAGAGAGAGAGAGCGAGGGAGAGAGAGATAGAGAGAGAGAGAGAGAAGAGGAGAGAGGAGAGAGAGAGAGAGAGAGAGAGAGAGAGAAGAGAGAGAGGGTGGGGGGAGGGGGGGGAGAGGAGGAGGAGCAACATGATTAAATGGTTGTTGGCTCGCGTTATTGCATTTAATTGTCTCGATCAAGAGGCCGCGTCCCAACCCGCCTCCCGACTCCGGCCTCGACTAGTGTGACCTCCTCCATACATACTAAATTCTCACTCTAGATCACTTACTAAATGAATCAGACAACTACAATTTAACAGAAGAAAAATATTTGAGATTAATAAAAATCTATTATTAGCTATCGAGAGAGATCTAGTACGATAATTTTTTGTTTTAGGTATACGTCAAAATGTGACGTGCTAATGGGAGGACGGGTTGGATAATTAGTGACTTCAGTGGTCATTAAAGATACGATAATTGTTATCTAATCACAGGTATCGTCTTTGGAGCGAGTTAACAACGCAGTTCAGGATCTTAGACGGCTCATAAGTTAATACCTATTGTCAGTTCAAGGTCAACGGCAGTTAGAAGTACAGGGGCCAACAGCTGGTTTAGGTCAGGGGTCAATAGCTTTGACAGGTCAAGGTTCAACGGCTGAACCAGGTCAAGAATCATCAGTTAAGAAAAAGGTTCCAACAGGAAAGATGTTAACCATGAGCCGAAGCCACGAGAACAGATCGGGACACGTGGAGGGTCCGGGGACAATATTGGCGGCACGGACGGGGGAAGTGACGTCAATAATGGTCCGGAACCACATCACCTCTTCTCGACTTCCGTTCCGTTTCGTACGGTTTCCAAAATACATAAACCCCTCAAACGAAGCAATTTATACCACCTAATAAATTAAATACATAAACCCCCAAAAATGCCAATTTTAAAGATCATTAAAAGCTTCCATGAGACATAATAATGAGAGGAAAAGACATATTCCAAAGATACGAACACAGTAAACAAACATACGGATCAGGACGGCGGAGCCAAAAAGAGCGGGAAAGGGAGGCCGATTCCGCTGTACATAATCTCATTTTGAGTGAGAGGCTCGTAAGATTAACATCGTGGAATGCAATAAACATACAATTGGGAGAGGTGTCGTGCCTATTACGCCCACGCAGACAATATTGATGAAAGTATTATGGGCGATGTACTCCACTTTTCCCGCCCTTTTTCTCTACAGATACGAACCATTTTCTAAGCGTTTTGTTGTTATTATTATTATTATTATTATTATTATTATTATTATTATTATTATTATTATTATTATTGGTGTATGTTGGTTCATTGAGAAGTATTTGTAGTATCATTATTAGCATTAATATTTTTATTATTAACGTTTTTTTGAATACAAATGCTGTTTTGTTTGTATATTAGTATTTCTATCTACTTTGTTATTCATTTTATTTATATATAATATATATAATATATATATATATATATATATATAATATTTATATATATATATTATTATATATAGATATATATATATATATATATATATATATATATATATACAAGAAGGTACATTGGGATTGAGAGGATACATAGGATAGTAATTACAATCTGTAAAGCCACTAGTACGCGCAGCGTTTCGGGCAGCAATTTTTTAGATAGATAGATAGATATTTTAACAATATCTATTGGGAACATTGGTTAAGATGGGCCGAGGTGGGTAGTAGTTATGTAATTATGGCCTGTTTATATTGGTTGTGTGTTTGTTTGTTTTTACTGTTTGTGTCTGCAGAATAGAGCTATTAGCTCTTGGACTTTCTAGCACGCATATACATAGCAGCCCGTAGCCCGTCTTAATTCCCCGGTGCCTATTTACTGCTAGGTGAACAGGGGCATCAAGTTGATAGAAACTCTGCTCATATGTTTCCGCCTCCGCTGGGAATCCAACCCGGGCAATTAGGACTACGACCCCCAAGCGCTGTCCACTCAGCCACAAGGCCCCTAAATATTAATATCAAAATGAATGTGTGTTAATATGTCCATTTCTAAAGAAAATAGGTGATAAATAATAATATTATAGAGACTAATAAATTCATAACACATTATCCTAATAAAAAAAATCAATAAATGCTAATCAAGCAAGCAAAGAAATCAAACGTATCGTTTACACCAGCGTTTTAGGCTATGTCTTAACGTGAACATCGATCATAAGCCTGGCAACAAACTCGCAGAGCGGCGGGTATCGAACCCCGATCAAAGCGACGGCGGGCGGGCGGGCCAGGCAGAGCGCCATGTACCAGTGGACTCCCATTAGGGCTCACACCCTAACAGATCCCGACCGAGAACCCTCGTGTAAGGACATCAAAGTCTGTTGGGGTTATCTCCCCATCCACACTCACTATCCTCTAGCCATCTAATGGCGTGCTGGGAAAGCCCGCTCGCGTCGATGGGCTCTTCCCACGGCTGTCTGAGAGCGTTGTAGTCCGCCGGGGCTCCGTGGACGGCAGTATGCACACTCCAGGGCTCCGTGGACGGCAATATGCACACTCCAGGGCTCCGTGCACGGCAGTATGCACACTCCAGGGCTGCGAGTGGGCCAGTATGCACACTCCAGGGCTGCGAGTGAGCCAGTATGCACACTCCAGGGCTGCGAGTGGGCCAGTATGCACACTCCAGGGCCGCGAGTGAGCCAGTATGCACACTCCAGGGCTGCGAGTGGGCCAGTATGCACACTCCAGGGCTCCGAGTGAGCCAGTATGCACACTCCAGGGCTGCGAGTGAGCCAGTATGCACACTCCAGGGCTCCAAGTGAGCCAGTAAGCACACTCCAGGGCTGCGAGTGGGCCAGTATGCACACTCCAGGGCCGCGAGTGAGCCAGTATGCACACTCCAGGGCTGCGAGTGGGCCAGTATGCACACTCCAGGGCTGCGAGTGAGCCAGTATGCACACTCCAGGGCTGCGAATGGGCCAGTATGCACACTCCAGGGCTGCGAGTGGGCCAGTATGCACACTCCAGGGCTGCGAGTGGGCCAGTATGCACACTCCAGGGCTCCAAGTGAGCCAGTAAGCACACTCCAGGGCTGCGAGTGGGCCGTATGCACACTCCAGGGCCGCGAGTGGGCCAGTATGCACACTCCAGGGCTGCGAGTGGGCCAGTATGCACACTCCAGGGCTCCGAGTGAGCCAGTATGCACACTCCAGGGCTCCGAGTGAGCCAGTATGCACACTCCAGGGCTCCAAGTGAGCCAGTAAGCACACTCCAGGGCTCCAAGTGGGCCAGTATGCACACTCCAGGGCTGCGAGTGGGCCAGTATGCACACTCCAGGGCTCCAAGTGAGCCAGTATGCACACTCCAGGGCTCCAAGTGAGCCAGTATGCACACTCCAGGGCTGCGAGTGGGCCAGTATGCACACTCCAGGGCCTTGCTGGCGTCTATAAGCACATTCATAATGATTCCGTAATAAATGCGACGAATTAGATGCGAGGACAGATTGAACAAAGACGTAGGAGTATCAATAGCGTCTCCCACATCCTCTTTCGGCGTCAGCTCAGCTGTCAGCTGTCAACTATCAGCTGTCAACTGTCAGCTGTCAGCGCTGATGACCATATATCTATGCCGCCGCTGGTAGCCTGTCAATCAATTATATGTAAATCTGATTGACCTAGCGTCACCTAATCAATCAGCATTATCAATTATGGAATCATATATAATATATATATTATATTAGGCAAATGGGCCTTGAATATAGCTATATATATATATATATATATATTATAATTATAGATATATATATATATATATATATATATATATATATATATATATAGAATACCCCTGTGTGTGTGTGTGTGAGTGTATATCACGAAAATAAACACGTGATTAAGAATGTGACAATGTCAGACCACGAGAGGAAAATGAAACAGGAATTTCCTTAAGTACTTTCGTATATTAGCATTCCTCTCTGGATGCCACATCTTCAGAAGGAATACTTAAGGAAATTCCTGTTCATTTCCTCCGTGGTCTGACACATATATATATATATATATATATATATATATATATCTATATATATATATATATATATATCTATATATATATATATATATATATATATATATAAAATATATATATATATATTCATTTTTAACATAATAATAATCTGAGTTTCACAATGTATTGAGTTATTTAATTGATTTTGAGTTACAGCCCCGCTCCTGTGCCAGGTAAGTCCACTTCGGGATCACCATAGCCCGTGCTACTTGGAACTTTTGTGTCCCCATTAGGAGATTCTAAAACAACAACAACAGGCTAACAGCCTCATTAGACGTTGAGATGTAAAATTGAAATTGAAATTGAAATTGAAATTGAAATAAGTTTATTGAGGTAAAATACACACAAAGGGATGAGGTAGCTCAAGCTATTCTCACCCCGTTCAGTACATCGTGTTAATACATATGTTGACCAGACCACACACTAGAAGTTGAAGGGACGACGACGTTTCGGTCCGTCCTGGACCATTCTCAAGTCGATTGTGAATGTCGATCGATTCTCACAATCGACTTGAGAATGGTCCAGGACGGACCGAAACGTCGTCGTCCCTTCAACTTCTTAGTGTGTGGTCTGGTCAACATACTTCAGCCACGTTATTGTGACTCCTCGCCTTAATACATATATATACACACAACGTTGAAATGTAAGTCTCGTCTTAATCACACACTCAGACCTTGACAAAGCACTCAAGAGAGTGTGAAAGACTTAATGTAAGTAGACGAAGAGTCACAATAACGTGGCTGAAATATGTTGACCAAACCACACATTAGATGGTGAAGGGACCACAATGGACTTGAGAATGGTCCAGGATTGACCGAAACGTCGTCGTCCCTTCACTTTCTAGTGTGCGGTCTGGTCGACCTGATGTAAATTCCTTACATAAATTTCACAAATACATAATTGTGGATTTGTATCCGATGTTACTATGTCTGTGAGAAGACATTAATCATTAATTATTACTGTGTTTTTTTTTGTAACACTGTTATTGTTGGTAGTTTGATCGTTATTACTTGCTGGGACTACGTCTGTTCTTGCTAGGTCGTTCTGAGACACCAATTATGCTTGCTAAGGTGTGCTAAGACAATTCCAACGTCTCTTCCGCAGGTCTTGAAGGAGCAGGAGCGTCGCAGGAAGGAAGCAAAGACCTCTACTGGTTCTAGTTCGAGCCTCTACCCACCCACTCTACCACGCCCAAACCCGCCCACGTCCCCCCACGCCCACCCACGAAAGCCCGCCCTATGCTGTCGAGTCCATGCAATTAGCGTCGAAGGTGAACCAATGAGGCAACGAGAAGGACTTTAGAAGAGAAGAAGAGGTGAAGGAGGAGACATAGGAGGAAGAGGCGGTGAAGAGGTGGAGCAAGAAACGAAAAAGAAAAGGCCGTGTTGAAGGGTTCTTAAGAACAGGTGAAGATGGCTGCTATAGCCTTGGCAACTATTTAACATTCCTCTCTCACTCTGTTATTGTGAGAAAAAGATAAAGAGAAAAAAAGAAACTATTGTAAAAAATAAGATAGTTGGTGATCAGTACTACGAAAATGTCGATCGCTGTCGCCCTGTGCTAGGAAAATGTCGATACTGTGGCCCTGTGCTAGGAAAATGTCGATACTGCCGCCCTGTGCTAGGAAAATGTCGATACTGTGGCCCTGTGCTAGGAAAATGTCGATACTGTGTCAACCTGTGCTAGGAAAATGTCGATACTGTCGCCCTGTGCAAGGAAAATGTCGATACTGTGGCCCTGTGCTAGGGAAATGTCGATACTGTCGTCCTGTGCTAGGAAAATGTCGATACTGTCGTCCTGTGCTAGGAAAATGTCGATACTGTGTCAACCTGTGCTACAAAAATGTCGATACTGTCGCCCTGTGCTACAAAAATGTCGATACTGTCGCCCTGTGCTAGGAAAATGTCGATACTTTCGTCCTGTGCTTGGAAAATGTCGATACTGTCGCCCTGTGCTAGGAAAATGTCGATGCACGCTTGCATCAACTCCTGGAAGCCCCTCGGAGCGAACCATTTAAGAAGCGTGATCCTTTTAACACGTGTTCTACATACACCAGAAACGAAACTAAGTGAAACAGACGCTTGAACGAAACAAACTGACACCGAACGCTGGCCAAACAAAATATATTACAGAAACAAGAAAAAAAAACATATACTGCAGATCAACAAAATATTTGAAACGTATTAAAGATATGAAAAATACTTAAAAAAATATTGATTCAGACATGTATGGTTTCGTGACATACGCCAACAGTGAAAATACGCAAATAAGCGTACGAAACAATTTATAACGGTGAAAAGTGTAGCGAAATTCAAATGCTTTGTTGGGATGAGACTCCGCATTTGTGTCCAAAAATACTAGAGGAACTTCCCAATATGTTTTCCATCAATGGATTTTTTTTTTAAGGGAATGGAAGACGGAGGTATATACACTGTGAGATGTATATACCCCGCTTCTTGGTGTATATACAAAAAATATACAAATTGGTTGGTCGGAAAGGTAGTGTGGAGGCCCTAACTCTCAGAGTTTTTTTTTAGGCCTTAAGTCCAACACCAAACCAAGGAGAAGGCGTAGGTGTATTGACCAATAGGAGAAATCGTCAAGAAAAAATATACACCTCTTGTATAACGTATATATCTGCTGTTAAAACAAAAAACAGTTCCCTCATGTATGTTGTATATTATATAGGTACTGAAATACTCTATAGTGTATGGCTCTTGGCTTTCAGTTGTATACAGGCTTGTGATACTCTAATCTACGCTGCGTATAGTGTAAATGTATGTATGTATGTATGTATGTATGTATGTATGTATGTATGTATGTATGTATGTATGTATGTATGTATGTATGTATGGTGTATACTGAGTGAGATGCGGAGTGATGTATGCCGTGTATAGCCAGATTGAGTGTGTTGTATGCGACACACACACATTTGGTTTGTATGTAATCAGGTAAATTCGGGTGAAACACGGAACGTTACCCCTCAAAAAACAGAAGATTTTGTGTAAACTGTTGACATGACTTAATCACTGTTGACATGACTTAATCACTGTTGACATGACTTAATCACTGTTGACATGACTTAATCACTGTTGACATGACTTAATCACTGTTGACATGACTTAATCACTGTTGACATGACTTAATCACTGTTGACATGACTTAATCACTGTTGACATGACTTAATCACTGTTGACATGACTTAATTACTGTTGACATGACTTAATCACTGTTGACATGACTTAATCACTGTTGACATGACTTAATCACTGTTGACATGACTTAATCACTGTTGACATGACTAAATCACTGTTGACATGACTTAATCACTGTTGACATGACTTAATCACTGTTGACATGACTTAATCACTGTTGACATGACTTAATCACTGTTGACATGATTTAATCACTGTTGACAAATAAAATCCCACCAATTAAAACCGAGTTTACCCTCCCATGTTAATTCTCCTCAAGTATACTCCCACTTAAACCACTACAACTTATACGTTTTCGTATATCAGTAAACCTGGAGTATACATCATACATCATACACAAAGAACATTGTCATTAATAAAAGAAATTAAACTTTTTAGAACATCAATAAGTGAAATAAACAAACTTCTATATTTAGAGAAGTTCAATAGACTGACATTAAAAGTATATGAAATATAGATATATTGCCCATTTCATATATTTATATACTTTTGAGGGATATATACACCCGGGTTCTCTGTGTATATACAAAGAAAGTATATATTAGTCCTGGGATATGTTCAGATATATATATGTGTGTGTGTGTGTGTGTGTGTGTATGTGTGTGTATGTGTGTGTGTGTGTGTGTGTGTGTGTGTGTGTGTGTGTGTGTGTGTGTGTGTATGTGTGTGTATGTGTGTGTATGTGTGTGTATGTGTGTGTATGTGTGTGTGTGTGTGTGTGTATGTGTGTGTGTGTAAATAGAGAGTATGTATGTGTGTGTATGCATAGAAGTTGTCTTTTATGGTGTATAGGAATATAGTTGTATTATATAAATGTATAAATGAACGCTGAGATTGATAGAATATAAAACAGTCATGCAGATATATAATAGTATTTAAAAAAAATAAATCTATCATAAATGGCCTCAAAATCTTATGTTTTGGGGTCAGAATTTTTTGGAAGTGCTATACACAGTTTGTTATTCATTGTACAATGTAGGAACTTGACGATTTAAGTGAATGACATTTCAGGCAGAATTTTTTTTTTTTTTGCAACTTTTTAATTATTTTTTAATTATTTTATCTTGCCCAAAAAATTTAGTATGAATATTAATTATCAGAAGTATTTGAAATGTACTTAAGAAAAAAAGGATTGAATAATTCCACATATGAACGATTGGCTACACATGTGTGTGTAACATTTTGACTCAAAAAATATATATGTGGCAATATTATCTTCAAGCTGTGTAAATAACTGACTGTTATTAATGTTATAGATATCAAGAAAATGAATTACAAACTGATATAATGTTCTCTGTATGTGTATATGTGTGTGTGTATGTATGTGTATACGAACAATCCGATATACATATCTTATATACATAAAACGCTCTATACCTACTATACACTATGGTCCCCGTTCTTAAACGTCAGAGTACTAGACTCGCGGTTTTGAGACCCAAGTTCAAGGCTCCTGTGAACTAAATACCCTTACCCAAAGAAGCTATCAGGGGGAAAGTGCCAAGCCAAGACGACTAAATAGCACTTGGAAGGGATCAGGATAAGGATTTGGGACGGGACGGTGGGGGGGGGGGTAAGAACCACTTGTGGACGCTCGGGGATCGAACGCCGACCTGCATGACCCTCTACCGTCCACCCCAAGTGGTTGGGTTAACCTCACCCAAGTTCTTGCGCTTGTCCGTCTTAGTGGAGAAGATGAAGGAGCAACCCAAGACCCAATTTCCTTTAAGAAGTACATTGGGAAGAAGTAAAAAGAAGGATTAATAGGTTTCGTATTTGCGTACCAGCGAGGTACTGCCCAAGGTACTGCCCAGATTCACGAAAGCACTTACGAACGTGTACATCTTTCCTCAATCTTTGACGGCTTTGGTTACATTTATTAAACAGTTTACAAACATGAAAACTTGCCAATCAACTGTTGTTATTGTTATAAACAGCCTCCTGGTGCTTCGGAGCTCATTACCTGTTTAATAATCGTAAACAAAGCCGCCAAAGATTGAGAAAAGATGGACAGGTTCGTAAGTACTTGCGTAAATGCTTTCGTGAATCTGACCCCAGATCCTTAAGAGTATCCACAGTGTATTAGTCGCGTATAGTTCGAAATATATCTATATATATATATATATATATATATATATATATATATATATATATATATATATATATATATATATATATATATATATATATATATGTCGTACCTAGTAGCCAGAACGCATTTCTCAGCCTACTATGCAAGGCCAAATTTGCCTAATAAGCCAAGTTTTCATGAATTATTTGTTTTCGACTACCTAACCTACCTAACCTAACCTAACCTAACGTTTTCGGCTACCTAACCTAACCTAACCCATAAAGATAGGTTAGGTTAGGTTAGGTAGGGTTGGTTAGCTTCGGTCATATATCTACGTTAATTTTAATTCCAATAAAAAAAATTGACCTCATTCATAATGAAATGGGTAGCTTTATCATTTCATAAGAAAAAAATTAGAGAAAATATATTAATTCAGGAAAACTTGGCTTATTAGGCAAATCGGGCCTTGAATAGTAGGCTGAGAAGTGAGTTCTGGCTACTAGGTACGACATATATTATATATATATATATATATATATATATATATATATATATATATATATATATATATGATATATATATACACATTATGAGTTGTGAGATAACGTCTTAGAAATTGTGAGACGATTGAGGTTGTGAGTTGAGAGTCTCATCATAGTTGTTAATTATAGTTGATACTAACGATTTTTTTTATGTTAAGCAAATGAGTAAGACTTTTCGTTAATCAAACGTGTTTGACTTACCCTTAATGTCCGTAATATAAGACCTAACAAAATGTCTTTTGTACAGTCACGCGTGGTCGAGTGGTTAATACTGAGTGTGTATAATCCCTAATACAACATCTTAGGCTTACAAAGGAGAGAATAATTCTCTAACAATTAAGTAATTTCTTCTTACAGACTTAATACCAAAAGAATAAGAACTCACCTAGTACAAAAAGCTGCAAGTAGCACGGACTATGGCGATCCCGTGCCCACACACTCGTGTATTTTATGTCAAGATTTACACCAAGTCTTTCACACACACTCTTCTGAGTGCTTGGTCAAGGTCTGAGTGTTAGAAACTCTTGTATCTCGAGATGTATATCTATCTTGAGATGATTTCGGGGCTTAGCGTCCCCGCGGCCCGGTCCTCGACCAGGCCTCCCCCCCCTCCTAGGAAGCAGCCCATAGCAGATGTCAATAACTCCCAGGTACCTACATACTGCTAGGTGAACAGAGGCATCAGGGGTGAAAGAATCTCAGTCCGTTTGTTTCCGCCTCCACCGGGGATCGAGCTCGGAACCTCAGGACTACGAATACCGAACGCTCTCCACTCAGCTATCAAGCCCCCATCAATAAAGTTTGAACACTATACATTTCTCTCAACACCAGAAGTTAAGACACAAATATAATAAGAATGAACTACAGCAGCATAGAAGAGTACTGTATTTAATACAGTAATCTATGCTGTAGTTTCAGCCTGTATCACCCGAAAGCAAAGTCTTGATATGTAAATACAATACATTATTTTGTAAGAAAAAAATAAAAAAATTACAGAATATAAATAAAACTATCAAAAATAAAAAATAAAAATTTATAATATATTCAAATTGTCAGACAAATTGTGACAATTTTGATACATAATTCAGTTATTAATATATATGTTTATTGTGGAGATAAACGAGATAATATTATTTCAAAGAAAATATGACAGATTTTTGGAGCCAAGATGGAGACGGGATATGAGGACAAGGAGCTGGGATATGAGGACAAGGAGCTGGGATATGAGGACAAGGAGCTGGGATACGAGGACAAGGAGCTGGGATATGAGGACAAGGAGCTGGGGTATGAGGACAAGGAGCTGGGATATGAGGACAAGTCGCTGGGATATGAGAACAAGTCGCTGGGATATGAGAACAAGTCGCTGGGATATGAGGACAAGTCGCTGGGATATGAGGACAAGTCGCTGGGATATGAGGACAAGTCGCTGGGATATGAGAACAAGTCGCTGGGATATGAGAACAAAGTCGCGGGGATATGAGGACAAGTCGCTGGGATATGAGAACAAGTCGCTGGATATGAGGAACAAGTCGCTGGGATATGAGAACAAGTCGCTGGGATATGAGGACAAGTCGCTGGGATATGAGGACAAGTCGCTGGGATATGAGAACAAGTCGCTGGGATCTGAGAACAAGTCGCTGGGCTATGAGGACAAGTCGCTGGGATATGAGAACAAGTCGCTGGGATATGAGAACAAGTCGGTGGGATATGAGGACAAGTCGGCTGGGATATGAGAAACCAGTCGCTGGGATATGAGAACAAGTCGCGGGTATATGAGAACAAGTCGCTGGGATATGAGGACAAGTCGCTGGGATATGAGGACAAGTCGCTGGGATATGAGAACAAGTCGCTGGGATATGAGAACAAGTCGCTGGGATATGAGGACAAGTCGCTGGGATATGAGGACAAGTCGCTGGGATATAAGAACAAGTCGCTGGGATATGAGAACAAGTCGCTGGGATATGAGAACAAGTCGCTGGGATATGAGGACAAGTCGCTGGGATATGAGAACAAGTCGCTGGGATATGAGAACAAGTCGCTGGGATATGAGAACAAGTCGCTGGGATATGAGAACAAGTCCCTGGGATACACAGAGTTGAAAGAACAATGCACCAAGACTTGAGCCATCAAGGCTCGAACGCCGACCCTCCAAAAAAGCGAGACCGCTGCTTCGGGAGCAAGGGAGCTGTTGTGGGCAGCATCCCTTAAGGGAATGTCAGTAGCTGACCTATTTGGCACTGTGATAATCCTAGGTATAGAGGCTGCCAGCTTTCTCCCATACAACGAAGATTAAAATATAGGAAAATATGGCACCCATTACAATAAAATATGGCACCCATTACCGCGGCAGCTGCCAATCGCAAACACAATCATCGCAACAAATAAATAACCACGCAAATAAAAAATATAAAACAAGTACAGTTCACCAAATATTAGGCCAAACCATACTGCTAAACCCCGCTATACTTAGATAAGAAGATCAGCTCCCTAGCTAACCCAGCTAATTATACAAACAAACACATTTGTTTTTGTTGGGACATGAACACCTAACAAAGACAATCACAATTGGA